TTTTTAAAACCCCTACAAAAAGTTATTATGCATAAATGGTCTATAACCATTATTTTAACTACACTAATTGATAGCGGTGTAGATATGAATTGTAATAAGAAAAAATAATACCTTCCAAATATTTTGAATAAACCACGCAGTAGCTAATTTCTACTTGAGGAAACAAAATGAAAAGAAATTATAAATTTCAACTGCTACAATTTTTAAAATAATATTTGCATAAAAACTCACTTTCTACTAGCTAAAAATTTAACACCACACTATTTTAAGAGTACTGGAATTTATTCTAATAAAATTGGTAAAACAATTATTTTCGAATATATTACCAATCCTACATAATTTATTTTAAATGAAATAATTAAATTTAAATTAAAAAAGAATCAAATTAATTTTCTACAAGTAGAAGTTATTTTTCTATCTATAAAACAAAAACTAAAAGGTAATTCCATAAAAGAAATTTTTAATTTACATAAAAATATGTTAATGGAAATTTGCGGTGAAAATTCAGCTGCTTTTAAGAAATGGCAAAACCAAAGTATTTATTTATTGTACGTCAATGATTTCGAAAAAAAAAATACTATGACTAAGGCACGACCGTGCCAAATAAACAAAGAATATTTAAAAGTTTGTAAACAAGAAATTAATGAACTTCTTGCCAAAAAATTAAGTAGCTCATGCATTTAATATTATGAATGATACATAAAATGAAAGAAACAAACTAAGATTGCTACCTAATTATAAACATTTAAATGAAGTTTTGAAATTGATTCAGTATCCCATACTGAAAAAAAAATTTACTAAATCAATTAAGTAAAGCTATAATCTTTTCAAAATTCGATTTAAATTTTGGATACTTGCAAATTCAAATTATTGAGTCTGTTTGATATAAAACGGTATTTACTGTTCTACTTGATCACCACGAATGAAACGTTAAGTCATTCGAATTAAAAAAATACTCTTGAATTCCAAAAAATAATAAATGAAATTTTTATTTCATATTCTGATTATATATTAATCTACATCGATGATGCTCTTGTTTACTCCAATTCAATAAAAGAACAATTTCAACATTTACAAATATTCTAATAGCTTGCCAAGGATAATAGTCTGATAATTTTCGCGTCAAAAATCAAATTAAGTCCAGCTGAAATACGATTTTTGGGACATAATATTGTCCGGAACATAATTATTCTAATAGAAAGAAGAAACGAAGTCTCTTCTAAATTTTCAGATGAGATTACTGATCTCTGTATATTATAAAGATTTCTTGATTCGCTCAATTATGTAGCAGATTATTATAAAAATCTAGCTATAGATGTTGTCATTCTTTATAATTGATTAAAGAAGCAGCATAATCCTTGGACAGAACATCACACTAAAGTTGTTCAATTAATAAAACAAAAAGTAAAATGTTACTTTGTTTACATATTATAGATTTGCATCTCCCTAAAATATTGGAAACAGATGTTTGTAATATTGGCTACGATGGAATCTTAAATCAAAAATTTTTAATCACGAACAATTTGTTCGTTTTAAATCTGACAAATGGAATACATCTCAAGAAAAATATTCGACTATCAAGAAAGAAATATTTTTTATAGTCAAATGTATTATCAAATTTTAATATGATTTATTAAATCAAAAAATTTTATTATGAATTGATTGCAGTTCAATTAAATATATAATGCAAAATGATGTAAAAAATATTGTCTCCAAATAAATATTTGTCAACTGACATACTCAATTATCTTATTTTGAATTTGATATTGAATATATTGTAGGTAATTATAATTCTTTACATGATTTTCTCACTCACGAATTTTTGCAGAGAGACAAGAAGGGGCTAATTTATGACAAGAATTTTCTCACTCATGAATTACTTGATTTTCTCACCCGCGCATAAAAATGACACCCCAACTTAGTCGTTCCTTCTCTTGAGAGAGAAGAGGTAAGGGACAACCTAATTTGACCACACAAAAATTTATTAATTTACAATAATATATTTATGGAAGCCCAACGGCCTCCACCTCTACATCAGAACCCCAATCTTCTAAATCTCCTTATTTACAAATTGAAGATGTTCCCGAATTTGTACAAAAATTTTTTAAGAGAAAATTCTCGAAATTAATCTAGAATATTATTAAATTCATAATCCTTGGAAAATCCAAGAAAAATGTCCATGCACAAATGCCTACACGTAATATAATCTTGACCGAGAATCTTCTGAAGCAATCCTCACTTCATTAAATTGTGTTGAAATTCAACACATACAATCAGCCCAATAAAGCTATTACATATAGCAAGGCGACAATTAATCACATCTTGCATCATAAGGAATGGGTTTTAACTTATTTTCAAACTAAACAGGTAAAATTTATTCATCATATATCTAATCAGAAAAAATTAATTTAATTCAATTATTAGGCATGCACTTTCTTCATCATTAATCAAAGAGGAAAGAATTCTTGGTTCTTCGTTTTAATGCCTGAAATTCTCAATAAAGAGATATCAAATTGACATAGTGGGAAAATTTTGATGCTACCAACGAAATCCTCCCTAAAATAATTGTTAATCTCAATCCAGCCAGGGTGGAATCATCCCACCAACTCGCCTAAATAAAGAATGATTTTCTCACAGATGGCATGTGTGAATTACTCTTTTTTTGTCAGGCCCAAATACCCTGGATTTTTGCCTGAATTTATATCAACAATAGGATGGCATTAAAAAAAAAATGTTTATGGAGAACGTTTATATCAAATGGTGGCCTACCATTATTGCTGTTGATAACATAATTCAAATTAATAATGTTATTTCATCCAATGTATCAAAAATTTGAGAAACAATCCCAAGAATTCTCCTTAAAAGAAATTCATGAGACAATGATGAGAAAATATCCTCAAGAATCTCCTGAGCAAATCAAGTAGCGAATGCAAGAGTTCTATCAAAAACAAATGAAAGAAGCTATTTGAATCAGATGATATGTTTGTATCCAATAACGGGTCCGACGATAAAGAAAATTGGGGAACGAATGGTGACACGACTCGGCTCAAATTGAAATCATAAAGAAAACTATTGATTAAAATGGAAAAATCCACCCCCACTGGTGTCACTAAAGGTAATCATTGTGGGCAATAATACCGAAAGTTGAAATAGTATCGCTTTTTGGAATAGTGATTATAATAATATTGGTTGATGTAATAGTACCTGAAATTACTCTTATTTTACATCAGATCAAATGGATATGTTATTTGTTATTAAGTTGTAATACATAAGTTTGGAGTCCACCCTCAATTATAAGAGGCTTCATTTTCTATTGAGTTGTGCAAGTTTTAGTAGACTTTGTATTGTAAAATAAAAGTATTCGCCTGTTGTTCCTCATAAGCTTGAAGTTTTGTAAGTTTAAGAAAAAACTATATATAGCTTATTATTATTATAAAGTTTTAATATTAAATTGATTTAATAACACTACATTGGTCGAATCGCACAAAGGCTGCACACGATTTTGTCTCTCTTTCCTTTCCTCGAGAGCTTCTTCTTCGATCGCACACGGCTTCGGCTCTCTCCAGGTCGACGTCGCCTTCTTCTCTGTGCACAGGATCGCACAAACTGGTCGACTCTTTCTCGTTTGTGCAGCAGAGACATCGTTTAGGTCGTTGTTCTACACTCTTTGCCCTAGTCTCAATCACCACCACCTCTGAAACTTGCGCGATCGAGAGCTTTCCTCAACTACTGTTTGACTCTCAGGTAAGTCCCTGCCTCCATCATACGATAATTTATAAGGCAAACTCATCTCTTTGGCTTCTGACCCCCTCGCTTTCTATCCCTTTGTTCAGTTGTTCGACTCACTTCATATATCTTATGATTATTACCTCGACCTCTCCCTTCCTCTTCCTTGATTATTTGACTCCCTCCCCCTAATAACATAAATGTTACAACGGGAGCCACGAGCTAGAATATCCAATCACAATTTTTACTACAATATTGGACTGCAAACAACATATTGAGAGAATAAGGCGTTCAAATTCCAATTTCAGCTAGAATTGTCTTCCTTTTTTTATTTATTTACTATTCATCTATTTTCTTTTTCATTATTCCTATTTTTTTTATCTCTAAGTAGGGCTTTTATTACTTTGGAGACTATTTATGTGTTATTTATGTTTTAGAAGACTATTGATTTGGTTTATTTTATTTGGAGATGTTCTCTCGCCGTTATCTCTATTAGAGGGATGTATCCTTCGATTTATTTCAGGTAGTGTGTTTGTAACTTGATAGGTTCGAGGTGATGATCTCTCTCGAACGCTCGAGGCTTCCTTCGTCATCCAACTCACAACCAATAACTTCCGCAACAGAAAACTGCTTTTATAAGTTTCAGTTTCGTTGTTCCTCTTTTTTCCATGCCACAAGTTCAGCTAACATCTCATCTCGACATCCATGCATTACCTTACTGTTTTCAATCGAGACAACCGTCGAATAACATCTATTCCCCCTCCAAATATCGCAAATTGCCCAAAATTTTATCCCCTTACTATTCCTCTACCCCATTCGACCCACTTGAGCACCTTTTAGGATCCAAAGATCAGTATCTCGGTTGTGATTAATTTTTGTTTTGTCTTCCGTTTTTCTTTTTTTTTTTTTATTTGGGGTGTATTGCTTATATGTTTTTTATTGGCTTCACTTGAAATAAAAACAAGTGTGGATACATATGTGTTTCTTGTTTTCCTAAAAAGATGCTTTGATAACAAGGACATTTAATATAATGTTTTAAAAGTTTCTATGAACAAGTTAAACTGTTTCCAAAAACAACAATAGCAGATCAAAAAAGGTTTCTAACCTAAGTAGCTATTTTTTAACATAGAAAACAAAAAATGGGAAAAAAAATACAACGTTACATAACAATAATGCAATTAAAACTTAAAATAAGCAAATATATTTTAGCAATCAATTGGCGGTATTGAGTTATTTCACAACCATTGTAATAGCTTAAGCAAGGAAAAACAGACCTGATCTATAACTTTCTCATCAAACAAGAGCTTCGAGCTAAAGAGGCACATAGAAGCACCCATGCTAACAGAAGTTATAGATAATTCTGGTGGGATAAAAACTTGTTTGTATGAACCGAAGGGAAAAGAAGTGGATAGATAGTCTTCATAGTGGCTGCAAAAGGAACAAAGAAAGAAAAAACAAATGATTATAAAACGTTAAAATGCTGATATAAAATTAACGGAACAACACAAAATACTTTAAAGCCCCACCTAAATGCATTGTGGAAAAAGCCAACTGTATTCTGAAGCTTTCGCAAATCTGAAGATAGACACATGTGAGAGACAATGCCAATATGATTATCAGGAAGCACTTCAAATGGAGCAACAGCCAAGGATATCCACCGAGCATTGACAGGAACATTCAGCTTATAGATAAATGTTTTGCGAGGAGGGTCATCCTTGCTCAATACCTACACAAGATGTCATTACCAAAACGGAGAAACATCTAAGCATCCCTTTTTTTGAACAAAAGGCAGATTGATACACATTCGATCGAATAATATCCAAAATACAGAGAGAAATTGCTCAAAAATGATGAGACTTACTTGATTTCAAAAACTACTATCATGAAATTAACATGAAATTTTATCACAAAAAATTAAGTGGTTTTTTCTCCTAAGGCCAAAGCAGTATAACGTAATTTAGGATGACTTATATGTAGGGGTGTAAACGAGCGAACACGAGCGAGCCCAGGCTTTGCTCGTGTTCGGCTCGTTTATATTTCGATCTCGAAAAATGTGTTCGTGTTCGGCTCATTTGCTTAACGAGTCGAACACGAGCCGTTCACGAACAAAGAGTCGTTTTGACAACCCTAATCACGTAGCCATAAAATGTTAAGGATTGGGGCAAGATTTAAAACATTATTTGAATCTAATTTAATAATTTAATATTTTTAATTGATTATAAATTATTGTAGCATTGTAGTCAATTAAATTTTTTTAAAATTCTACTCATCAAAGATCTATATATAACTGATTTGTAGTTTTTCGAGCCAAAACGAGCCGAACACGAACGAACAAATATTTTTTCGTGTTGTTCGTGTTCGGCTCATTAATTTAACGAAGAGCCGAACACGAGTTGTTCGCGAACAACGAGCCATTTTGACAACCCTAATTATATGTAAGGACACAATAGATCATCACCCTCATTATCATTATCAAACTTACTAGGTGTCTCCTATATAAATCCAAATTCTTCATTCATTATCATTAAGCATCACATGAGGTGCTATACTTAATCTGCACAAATTCTTCTTGCAAAATTTTCATCACCGTTGGTTCACACATTTCCTTTAAGTCCTTCAACATTAATTTTATCAACCCATCACGAGTTGATATGCAAAAGGGACCGTAAAACATTAGTCACATAGAGGCCTGACATTAAACAGACATTAAACAGGTAGATGGAAATTCATTTGAAACAATCTCTCTCTCTCTCTCTCTCTCTCTCTCTCTCTCTCTCTCTTCCTCTTCACACAAGAAGGATTACAAGCACTAATTGTTTATTGTCCCCTGAAAATTCCTCCTACAAATGTTTATATTATTTTTGAAACCGATCATTGTATGGGAGGATAGGGAGGAGTATGTAAGTGGAAGATTGCAAAGAACGATCCCAGATCTTCAGAAACAGTATGCGCCTACGCTAGTGGAAAATTTGCAACTATCAAATCTACTATAGATGCAGAAATTCACGCTTGCATGGAAAGTTTAAATTCTCTAAAAATCCACTATCTTGATAAATCTGAAATCATTCTTCGAACAGGCTGTCAAGCTATAATCTCTTTCTACAATAAAACAGCTCAAAACAAACCATCTAGAGTTAGATGGCTTGTCTTCACCGATTTCATCAACGGGCTGGGGATCGTTGTTTACTTCAAACATATAGACAGAAAGAACAATGTTCTTGTCGACTCGCTCTCTAGACTAACCTTTATTTTAATTTCAGGTTATGAAGAAGGTGTTAATTTTTTATTCACAGGAGAAAAATGGACGCTATAAGCTCCAGAAGCTCTAAAGGAAAAAAATCTTATCAAGGAAAACGAGTATTCAGAAATTACATCAAACAATTATCAATGGACGAGTAAGGGGATCAAGGACCGCAGATGGAATCACAACATTCCAGACAAACGCTATGAATTACGCCAGGAATGGATGCAACAACAAAAAGCTCAGAGGAAGGAGTTCAACAGAAGCTATCCTAGGACTTTCGATCTACCAAATATCCCTAAAGACGCCAGTGACATACATTGGGAGTTGTTATGGGAAAGTTTTGATTTTCCATTATCTATGGATGCTCATGACAAACCTAGAGGAGCTGCCAAACTAATTGAATCTGATCAAGCAAATAAAGTGCTTAATGAACTTCGAATTCTTCAACGAATGTATGAAAATAAGATTGTTTACTGCAAAAGTTGTTCAGGTAAAGACAATGCATGGAGTGATATCCTTCCGGATGTTCAGAAAATGGAAACCAGGCTTGATAGCTTAATCAGCATTGCAGCTCAAGTCGTCTACCAGGGCCTGGAAACGGAAGTCTAAATTCCATGATGTATATACAATAAAGTCTTGTCTCTTGTACATATGTATTCTCGTCAGTATTGTAATATGTATGTTGTATCTGGATACATCCAGAAGTTTGCTAAGATGTCTGTATCATATGAAACTGTAGCAGGCCCACAATAATTTAGTCTTGTCGGTCAGTTGGCAACTTCAGTCTGTTAGTGGGTACAGAAAAGATGTTTTCCGCCTTTCCGACCATGGTTTTTCAACTTTCGGCCCGTGGTTTTGGTTAGTGGGAATCTCCTTTCCACGAGGAGAAATTTTGGTCGTCCACGTTGAGTTGAATTATTTTTCACTTATCTGACCACGTTATCTTGTCTGGTCGAATTTATCTCTTTGTCCTGACTCCTCGTCTATATAAGGAGACATATGTATGAGTTGCAGACAACAGGCCTTACGTCAAGAGTCTACTTCTCTCTTCTAGTTCAAGCTTGTGAGTCTTCAATTTTCAATAAAATTTCTTTAAGTTTACTTTGATAAATTTGTTGTTCCGGCTATAAGTTCTTTAGGACCCCCAAACCGACGATCTCCCGTTTCAGCCCCTTTTTGGTATCACAGCTATGTTGGGGTAAAACTTTCAAAGTATTCTGAGGGATCCGAGTAAGGATCTTGATGAGTTGATTTGCCGAGCTCTCTCATCTTATTTAGCTATCTTTTATACGTCTTGAATACTTGAATCTTTATCTTTAGGTGAACCGTCTAGATCGGTAAAACCTACCAAACCAAAAGGCCAGATTGTTGTTTTTCAAAATCCTAAAACTATATTTTTGAAAGAAAAATAAAAATATAATTCTTGATCTATGACCTTTACATCTAGGAATAATTTATTTTGTATAACCACTACTCTTCTTCCCACTCCTAATGTACGAAATTTCAATCCTACATCCACTTCCACTTCAAACCTAGATGATCAGATACATGACTATCGTATGAGGTCACGTATAGCGTATGAGATTCAAAGGAGAATCCCTAGAAGGATGTCTTATAATAGAACTCTGGAAAGTCAAATCCAGAGCAGCAATTACAGATCTCACAAAGAAGAAGTGCAAACTTGGTTCCTGCAGAAACCCTGTATGAAGATGACTGGTCTTCAACCAGACATAGGGTTTACCAACACTATTCTGAGGAACGCATACTTGCAACTAAGGGAATGCAGATAAACTTATCATTCATAAGACAAGAATCATACCAGCAATTAGTCCAAGAGGGGATGCAGCATATACATCTTGGATTAATTATGATACGTATTCATACTCTGCATAGACAAGATGCAAGTACGATAGTTTTAATTATTCTCCGCAACACCAGATGATGTTCTGATGTCTCTATAATCGGTACAATTAAGGTGGATCTTTCTAAAGGTACACAGCTCGTTTATATTACTCCGAACATGAGTTGTCCATACATAATTTCTTAAATCATATTGAGTTTGTTGTACTCACTCACGGATATGAAGATTGGCAAGGAGGACAGTCTAACCTCCTAATCACTAGAGCTTTAGTTGTCAGACTCACTAACACCAGCCATGCGAGATTTCGTTATAATGTCAATGGAATTGCTGATTATTTGGCAACCCATTAAATTATTGTTATCCCTGGACAGAAACATTCCATACAGCAACTGCAAGGGCTATATTGGAATTTGAAGCCCTCTGAAAATACTAGTGTTCAAATATCACGACAACTGGTTACTAGACAACGGATTGATGGTACAATTCGTTTATCTTTCTCAGACTATAATATTGTTGCACCGCCACCGGTACCACAATACTCCTCTAAAGACATTGAAGGTTCTGAGGACGAAACAGCGTATATGGCTTATGAAGATGGTCTCTTATGGGATTACGAGAAAGATGATGCTGAAAATTGCATAACTATATGCAAAGTTGAAGAATATGATGCTGATGATGAACCAGTCTGGGATCAATCTCCAAGTGAACAAGGAGATGAAGATGAAGATCATTTTTCATTATTTTTGTACATAAATAATCTTAATAATGAACAAATTTCATTCATGAAAGTTGGTGGAGATGCCGAGGTTAATTTTTTCAATCTTCAAAATTTTGATCCTGAAACGCCACTTGAAATATTTGAATCAACTCCCTTTGAATTAACTTCACCAGCACAACCTAAATCTTTACCTATCCATGAATCATTCTCTAAACCCGAGATGATTTATCCAAATATAGAAGACCAACTTGCAGAGATGGATTATCCGTGCCTTAGAAAAATGGCCGCTAAAGCAGACAGTGCTTATACGTTTGTATCCTCTTCCTATTTACCACCAAATAAACCGGTTACGGGTCCATTTATGTATCCACCTGCAATTTCAGGAACGTGGGTGGATTCCTCTTCCTCTTCCTCAAATAATTTCCAGAACCTGAGGTCAAGAGCCTCAGATTTCAAAAGATCTTACCAGCAGAACATGTGGACATTGTCTTCTGCACATAATACACATGGAGACATGCTTGTTCTACCAGATGATTTCTCTCTTTACGACAACTTGATTTCCAATAATCCAATGGGTTGCCAAATAATCAGCAATTCTATTGACATTATAATGAAATCTTGCATGGCTTGTGTTAGTGAGTCTGACAACTAAAGCTCTAGTGATTAGGAGATTAGATTTTCCTCATTGTCAGCCTTCATATTCGTGAGTGAGTACAACAAGCTCAATATCATTTAAAAAATCATGTATGGGCAGCAGCATGTCCGGAGTAATATAAACGAGATGTGTACCTTTAGAAAGATCCACCTCAATTGTACTGATTATAGAGACATCAGAACGTCATATGGTGTAGCGGAGAATAATTAAAGCTAACTTACCTGCATCTCGTCTATGCAGAGTATGAA